GGGTGTGGGCGCGGGAGGCACAGCAGCTGCTGTCAGGGGAGGCTGGGGAGGCAGCGACTTCAGGACCTGAAGTCGCCCGAGCTTTGGCCTTTGCTGTCTCCATCTGTCTGTCCGCTGCTGCATGCCCTGCACCCGCTGAGGCACCTGGCACATCCAGGTAGCCATCTGCTGAATGAATGAGCTCTGCTCTAGGAGCAGCATGGGAGCTGACCTTCAGCTACGCTACTGCTCCTAATGAAATACGTTCTGAATCCAGACCCAGTCACCAGACTGCATCCCAGGAAGCTAACAAGTCAAAATACAACCTCAATGCCCCAGCAAAGGGGCCTCATGAACCCAATCCTTATGCAGAAACGGTCCATTTTGACACAGGCTGTGGTCGTGCTGCGCTGGTATCACTCCTGCACTGAGATAGAACACACTGGTCAGGCTCAAGCCGGGTGTTCGCTGGAGACCACAACCACCTTCTCCCGGCAAGCACATGCTCAGGGCGCCAAGGCCCACTTCCCACACCCCCTGCCCAAGGAAGGCCAGGCCAAAGGAGAGGTCTCTACAGGAGGCCCTGTGGGCCATCCCACATAGGAGACGCCTTCTTCATCAAGTGACCAGAGGGCTTCATCAGGGTTGGGGCACAAATCACAGGTACCCAAGGAGGCAGCGAGAAGAAGGCAGTGCCCCTACTGAGATTTCTGGACAGACGCTTGGCCCAACACCATCACTCAGTTTAAAGGGCATTCTACAAAAGTGCCTGGGAATCTATGAAAACATCAAGATGAAGAAAGTCAGGGAGGGCCTGCAGAATGTTCCAGATGAGGAGATGAGAGACTTGCAGGTAAAGGCAACATGCATTCTGGGGCCTTAGGTGACTGTGAAGGAGGCGGGCACTAGGACCAGCCACCTGTTGGCAAGACCTCCTTGCTCTGGGTCAGAGGAGATGTCCTTGTTTGCAGGAAATAGACACGGAAGGGCTCAGGGATGATGGGGAATGGGTCAGCAATGCTTCCCTTGAAAACAGAGCTTTCTGTACTATCCCTACAACCTTCCTCGCAGTTGGAAAGGGAAGTGGGCAAAAAGATACAAACACACGTCATGAAAAAAGGAAACCCACATGGCCAGTCAACGTGGGGTGATGCCGACCATGGCTCGAGATCAGGGCGCACGCATCAAAGCAGAGTGAGGCTCCACTCTGCTCCCGCCTGCTGGGCGAGAGCTGAGAGCTGAGGGCACCAGGTGCTGGGGAGGCTCGGGGCCCACAGTGACCTGCCAGGAGGGACACGTCTCCAGCCACATGGCAGCACACGGGTCCTCTCCTGTAGATAAACTGCTCGTCCCCTGAGGCCTGGGCACTCACAACCCCGGAGGAACTCTCGTATGTGTACAACAGGGGGTGTGTGCAAGAACATCCCCAGCAGCTATGCACAAGGGCAAGAGCGTGGAAACGGCCTGGGTGCCCGTCAGTGTGAGCACGGGTGAATACGCGCAGTGTGTTTGCCCGGTGGAATGTTGTACAGCAGACGAATGAATGAGCTGCAGACAATAGAGAAACAGAACGGAACAGAAAGTCTGGAAATAAACCTACACTGACACGGCCAATTGATTCTCAACAAAGCACCGGGGCAATACAACCGCGAAAAGAAAGTCTCTTCAACACTGGTGCAGCTTAATATCCATATGAAAAAATTAACCCCTGCTTCCTACCACAGGAGACACAGAAATGAACACAAAGTGGATAATGGGTCTAAATATAAAAATAAGAAAACAAGAGAATAACTTCTTTGGGGCAAGCAGAGATGTCTCAGAAAAAAAAAATTAACTATAAAAAGAGAAAAATCAGTGATTTTAACTTCATCAAGATTTAAAACTTCAGCTTATCAAAAAGACACCATTAAAATATGAAAAGGCGAGTCACATGGGGAGAAAATACTCAGGAAGCAGGTATCTGACAAAGGACTTGTATCCAGAATACATACCAAACACTGACAACCAATAAGACAATCCAGTTTTTTTTTAAATGGGCAAAGATTTCAACATCACAAAAGAGGATTTATGAATGGCCTGTAAACCAATGAGAAGGTGCTCAACATCACTAGCCATTAGGGAATGTAAATGAAAACAAATGAGATGCACTTCGACTCTGCTAGAGGGGTTGAAGCCAAGGCTGACGCATCAGTGCTGGGAGAATGTGGAGCAGAGAGATGGGCCACTTTACCTGTGGTTCCTCAACCCCGCGCCTTTCATCTTCCCAAGAGAAACAACACACGCCCACAGGAACACTTACATCGGGATGTTTATGGCACTTTTATTAAAATAACCCAAACTAGTGACTGCTTGAATGTTGACCAGTAGTAGCATGACCAGCATGGTACCTTCATACCACTGATTAAAACAGAGAACAGCCCGCCAGCACTCACAGTCACAGGTGACCACGACGTGGTGTGGATACTAAATGCAGGTGCTCACACCTCGTGGCCTCTGTATGGGAGCAGCTCTGGTTGATGCAATCATCATCTGCTCCAATTCGGCTGTGAGTGACAGGGGTGTGTACAGGTGTCAGAACCCTCACATTGCTCATTTTGTACACCATTTTCACATTTTGATGCAAAATGAAAATCTTGCATTTCACTGTATATAAATTCTCCCTCAATTAAAAAAACAAAACAAAACAGAATGAACTATAATGATGTGCAACAATATGGATAGACCTTAACAATATAAGCTTTAAAAGTTGCAAAATATTTTATACAGCCTGGTACCCTTTTTATAAAGTTAAATACAACTAAAAATTTTTAATTGGTTCTTTTTCATATTTGCTTAGACACCAAAAAGTTCAGCAGCTGGTGGGGACAGGGCATTGTATGGTGGTAGCCAGGAATGGAAGGCAGTGTAAATAAGGTTGGAGCAGGAGTTAGCACTAGTCTTGGACGGCAAGATTACGGGTGCTGAGTGTTAGCAAAAGAAACATGGGCACAGAAACAAATAAGGAGATGGATGTACGGACCAGCAACCAGGATGTGTCCTGAACCCAGGGTCAGGGTTCATCCAGTTCTGTGCCCCTGAGACCCGGGGACCTACGTTCACAAAGAGGGAAAGGAATTACCATGGAAACTGGAAAATGAACTAGGATTTCTGCTCAGAACCTACAGGATACTACACAGCTGTCACAAGAAGAAAACGACTGCCTTACTTTGCACTTCAGAGAAGGGGAAGGGCTGCAAGTATGGAGCCCAGGGTCCAATTTCAGGTGTTGGAGGTAGAGCACCAGGATGAATCCAGATGCAAAACCACAAAGATCAAAAATCAGAGAAACAAATCAGACAGACGGAGGAGAAGGAGCCCCAAGGGCAGAGGTCAGACGAAAGGAGTGCAGCCCCACCCTGGGCCCCAGGCCTGGAGGGCCGAGGGGAGGCCACCCGCAGGTAAATGTTCCCAGAGTGCCGCCAAAAAGAAAATCTACACATCATCATTTGTCATGCTATCAAAAATTCTATTATGATTACTAAACGTCATATAAGAAATTCTTTGCAAAATTCTGTCATGCTATCAAAAATTCTTTATGAACATTACAGTGATTTTCTCATACAGATTGACCACAATTCCCTTTACCATTATTCTACTGTCCAGTATTAACTTGTTTCCATTAACTAATTTTCCATCACAGTTAATAACACTAAAGCTTCTTTGTGCATATTATCTTTTTCAGAATTTCAAGGATACCTAGAGTGAAATTCAGGGTCCAGAGCATAAGCCTTTTTAAAGTTCTTAGTACAAAATGCAAAAATCATGCTGTCAATGTTACCAGTTCACAAGGCATTTCCAAACACTGAGTATCTACATGTTTAGAGAACTTGGTTAATTTGATTTTTAAAAGTAGTATCATATGACTCAGCAATTCTGCTGCTGGGCATACACACTAAGGAAACCAGAATTGAAAGAGACACATGTACCCCAATGTTCATCGAAGCACTGTTTATAATAGCCAGGACATGGAAGCAACCTAGATGTCCATCAGCAGATGAATGGATAGGAAAGCTGTGGTGCATATACAAAATGGAATATTACTCAGCCATTAAAAAGAGTAACATTTGAATCAGTTCTAATGGGGTGGATGAAACTGGAGCCTATTATACAGAGTGAAGTAAGTCAGAAAGAAAAACACCAATACAGTATACTAATGCATATATATGGAAGTTAGAAAGATGGTAACAATAACCCTGTATGCGAGACAGCAAGACAGACAAAGATGTATTGAACAGTCTTTTGGATTCTGTGGGAGAGGGCGAGGGCGGGATGACATGGGAGAATGGCATTGAAACATGTAAATTATCATATGTGAAATGAATCGCCAGTCCAGGTTCGATGCATGATACAGGATGCTTGGGGCTGGAGCACTGGGATGACCCAGAGGGATGGGATGGGGAGGGAGGTGGGTGGGGGGTTCAAGATAGGGAACACATGTACCCCCATGGTGGATTCAAGTCAATGTATGGCAAAACCAACACAATGTTGTAAAGTAAAATAAACAAGTTAATTAACTAAAAAAAAAAAAGTAGTACCAAACTAATTCGTGTTTGATCACAAATGACGTAACATTTTTAAAATCACTGCTTGCATATCTACCTTTGAAAGTCTCCACTCCTGTCCCTTTCTGTTTATCTACTACTCATTATTCTTTGTGTTTTCTCACCAATTTGCATGAATTATTTCTATTAAAGGCGATTAATCTTTTAAGTATTGGGTCAGTCAACACCTTCTTAGTTTATCTTCACTTTGTCTATATGTTTCTCTGTTGTGCAATTTTCTGTTTTTATGTAACCCCATTTATCAAAAAATCAATCCACTCAATAGGCACTACAGCAATTACACAGAAAAAACTTAGCAACCTGAGAGACTGATTGTAACATATTAGAACAATGATTTTAAAGAACTACACTAAAATGTAATATCTCTTAATTACTGAACCAACATACAGTCAGACATTTAAATAAAACAAAGTTACTTACCGCATCCAAGAAGCAAAGGTAAGACCCTGAGCTCTGTGCTATTGCTTGATTTTTAGAATATCCGACTGTTTAAAAGAGAAAAGGAAAAGCTCTATTAGAATTCAGTTTTAGTGGATTCTCTTGCATAAAACTTACTGCGATACACATGGTAGGAAAGTTAGGAACACTCCACACTGCCAAGTAAAAAATCAGACCAATTTAGATGAAACTAAATGCAGTAAATATAATGATAACAGACAACAGTCCACCTAGTACCAGTGTTAAGACAGAATGTGCTCACAGAAGGAAAATAAAGCTGGCAAACATGTATCCAGCACAGCACTAAGGTAACCCTGGGGAGTATTTTTAAAACACAAAATTACAATGTCTCTGAATAGAACTGGCAGAAACACTTCCTCTAGAAGTCTCTGCTGATAAAAGTCACTTTACAGTTACCTGACAGATGGGGCCACAAACACATGAGAGATCGGCTGGTAGAAGCAGCTCATTGGACTGGACGCTTCACGGGCACAGATATCACTGAGCACGTGTTCTAGGGATGAGTTACAGGCCCTGTCAGAGTCCACTCTTCCTACATGTCCTGGGAGCCCCCCCAGCTCCCCCAGGAGGTGCAGACCCAACTTCACCAAGACGTGACTGGCACAAGAACCCCCCACGGAATGGAAAATAGACCACATGTATGAAAATCCTGGCCGCACACAGAGTTGGCGCCCCTTGCACTGCTGAGCACTGGGACAGCACATGGAGCACAAAGGCTGCAGATTCACCTGGGCCTGGGAATCAGGGAAGCGGTGCCCCGGGGATGGGGGCGCTTCCAGGGCCGGTGAGGTCAGGTCTGCCTCAGGGCGCTGGCTGCAGGGTGTTCAGTTTGTGGAAAAATAATTGAGCTGTACTTTGATGATAGGTGTGCTTTCCTACATGGATATTACATCCTAATAAATGGCTTAAAATCCTCATCTTCAAAGAGATTACAACTGAGTTGGAAAGAGAGGTAACCGAAAACCTATGTAAGGTGCCAAACAAATGGTGGGAGGCGCTAGGGAGGCTTATGGAGAGGAGAGGAGACCATGGCAGAGGGGGTCAGAGAGACAACATGAGTTTAAATTGAGAGAATGAGGTTCCCAGTGATGGATTGGGCAGTGAGCAGCATGTGGACCAGAGACAGCTCCCACAGGGAGGGCAGCTAGGAAAGGCTTCAGAACAGAAGAGAGTGCAGAAATCAACACACAGCAGGCCTGGTCTGCATGCCGAGGGCAGGGCAGGTTAGAGGAGGCACTGGGTCCCAAAGAAGGAGCCAAGGGGCCTTTGAGGGGCACAATTCCCACCTCCCTAGAAAAGAGGCTCCGGTACCCTAATTGCATTACAGAGACGCTTAGATTTGGGGCCACCCAGGAAAGTCACACAAAGTACAGCAGATGTGTGCAGAATTAAAACAATAAATCACTCTGACTCAAAGCTGAGATGACCTGAAGACTGTGGTCCGTCCCAGGGGACACCAGGAAAGGTCTTCCCCAGGCCTCAGCCCAGGTGTTCCCCAATTTTCTGCAGTAAGGGGAGCAGGAGGAGAAAGCAGATCCCTCCTGTTACTCGGCCGCGCTCTGGAGCAAATCGCACTGCGACCGCAAGGATGGATTGCGGCCCTCGCGCAGAGCTTCAAAGGGTATGGCCCAGAGCAGTGTCTCTGGCTGTCATCACGTGAGGCAGCACCTCAATTTCCAGCATTAATCCTAGAGCTGGGCCAACCCAAACCAATGAGTAGGACTGTCACAGATTTCAAAGAACTTGTTCAAAGAACAGGTATGACAAGCAAGCAAAGGAAAAGCACAGAAGGGGAGGCAGGGGCCGGCCTCCTGACCCCTGGAGATGGATTAGCAGCTAGAGCTGAATCTCCATCATCACCACAAAGCAAGGTAGGCCCAGAGAAAGAGCTCATGGAATCAAAACAGAAAAAACGGGAAGAGACTTTTCATAATCACTTTGAAATCAGCAAGACAGTGGTTTTATTGGTGTTGGGTTTTAGAAGGGGAAAAACTGACCCCAAGAATTTGGGTAATGAAGGAAAACGCAGCTACCAAGGAAGCTGAAAGTTTCTCACGATGAGTCTTGTGTTTGGCAAAGATAAGGAATTTGCTTTAATATTATTGCCTTGAAAAGTCAAATGTTTGTGCCAGGGCCTGATGTTTGGGGAGGCCTGTCCCTTTGTGAGGGGAGTCGGTTGTCATGGTCACAGCAGGAAAAACTCCCGCCTCGGTGAGATATTAACATTCCTTACTCTTGGAGAGAAGAGGGTGGGATTGTGTTTTACTTCAATTTTAGCAAGTGACCACATTATTAAGAAATGTTTTGCTCTAGTATGATATGAAATAATAGTAAATGAATCTTACCCAATTTAAATACCCAACACTTCTAAAAATAGATACTTTGGATTTACAGTATCCAATGGTTGATATGACATTGCCTACTTAAGAAAATATTATTATAGGAAAATTCGTCCTTTCCGACATAATCAAATTAACTTCATTTTGCTAATGTGTAATACAGGATTCCCATGAATTCACCTTATCCAACCTCAAAGAGACAGCAGAATCATTTCTTCACAATACTACAATTTACTTTTTTGTTATTGATAAAATACATACAAAGGTGATGTGGCTCAAGTTATGTCTACTCTATAAAAAGTATTTTATAAAAGACAAAACTTGCTTTTAAAAAAAAAAACAAACTTGCTTTTAAAGTGGAGATTATACAACCAATCACAGCAGTCATCAAAATGCCTTTCATTTACTCTCATTCAACTATGGAAGATGCGAAACATTTTAATTAAAAAAAATCTTCAAAGGTTGTTCATAGTTGTTGTTGTTCAGTTGCTCAGTTGTGTCTGACTCTGCCATCCCATGGACTGCAGCATGCCAGGCTTCCTTGTCCTTCACCATCTCCCAGAGCTTGCTCAAACTCATGTCCGTTGAATCAGTGATGCCATCCAACCATCTTATCCTCTGTCATCCCCTTTTCCTCCTGCCTTCTATCCTTCCCAGCATCAGGGTCTTTTCCAGTGAGTCAGCTCTTCACATCAGGTGGCCAAAGTACTGGAGCTTCAGTTTCAGCATCAGTCCTTCCAATGAATATGCAGGACTGATTTCCTTTAGGATTGATTGGCTGGATCTCCTTGCAGTCCAAGAGACTCTCAAGAGTCTTCTCCAATACCACAGTTCAAAAGTATCAATTCTTCAGCATGTCTCAGAAGGAAGTTGAAATAGACGTTCCACAACTGGTTTATAAATAATTTCTAACAGACTAAAGATAATGAAAATAAGATATATTTGGGGGGAATATATTAAAAATGTGCACCAGATGATGAAGAAGAGGAGGAGGAAGAAGACAATAACAGAACAGCTGCTAGACTTCTCGAGGGTCCACTGCATGCGGCCTCTTCTGGAACCCTGCTCCCATCAGCTTGTCCTACGCCCTCCCAACACCCACGTGGGCACTACTGATACGGCTTGTTCACAAAGAAGGAAATCAAGGCTGGGTTGGGTGCAGTGCACCCGACCCTGGAGCCCTCACCCACCAACAGGCACCTCTGCATGAGGTCACTGTGCGAAGTCAAAGAATACAGTCTTTCCATAGGAACCTTCTAAAAGCAGAAAAAAAAGAGCTTTCTTCTTTTAAAGGACCAAGATTTTAAAATTATTTCTGATTTTTAATTTTTTTCTAAAATATTTTCTACAGTTCTCTGCTTTCCTAGGTAGAGGGCATTGGCTGAGGAACACGGGGCTGGGCAGGGGAGCACATGTTGGGAGAGAAGTTTGTTTCATTCGCAAAAGCCCAACTATTTCTTTTTTTTTGCCCAACTGTTTCTTAACTCACCTTCAACAACATTCACCCTTTACTTGTCCCCCTCCCCCAAGAAACAAAAACAAAAATACTGGCTGGAAGCTCTACAAAAGGCTTTACAAAAAGCAAAGGGCACTCATCCTGGCTGCCCTCGGTGGGAGGATAAGCCCCTTCACAGAACAGTGCACCATATTCCTTAAGAGCTAGTGTTGTTCAGAGATATTTAAACCCGTTAGAGGGCGGGCCCCAGAGAGCTCAACTTGGGGGTGGGGGATGAACTCCAGGTAAATCAGCAAGTGCCCCAGGGATAGCAGCACAGTCCTCCCAGGACTCAGGAGAGAACCATGTGAACTTGCAAGGGGCACAAGCAAGAATCATCAAGTGAAAGCTACCGAGTCCCCTGACCACCCAGTGCAGGAAGAAAGGACCAGAGAGAATGCAGGAAGATGAGAAGGGGGCTTACAGGACAAGAGGTGTAGGGAAAGTAGGACTGTCTCTCCCACTCACACCTTTCCCCTGAGCGCTACCCTGAATGCTCCAGCCCTATCCCACAACCCTACTGACCCCCTCACCGGGAAAAGATCTCAGCAGCGGCGACCCTGTGTGTTGGCAAGTCACCTGCTGGGTCCAAACAGGATCTCATCTGAGGGGTATTCCAGGAGGACCCCAAATTTTCAGCTGTGTCAGGAGCTAACAAGACTCCCTCAGGACCAAGCCCACCATAGAGTGGAGGTAAAGCTGCACATTCTTGAGGGTTTTAAAGGAGTGGATGTACCTCAGTATCTCTTGGGAAGATTCTTTTACAATCCCCCTGCTATGTTTATACCCCAGACAAATTATACAAGAAAATCTTAGGATAGGACTTGGGCATCAGGTTTCCTAGACTATTCCTAGACTATCAGGTTCCCCTAGACTATTCTAACATGCAGCCAAAATTGAAGACTACTTTTTAAAGAAAGACATGACTCCTAAAACTTATAGGAACCTGTCCACTAGCCAATCTTATCATCTGTCCTGCCTCCACCTTCAGTTCTAGCAGTCTGTGCAGGCATATAAACTTATTCTCAAGTTTTACATGAAAATTGTAAAGTCAAACTACTGGAAGCACAATAGATTACAATTAAAGCTAAGAATGCAAAGCTAATCATTCTATATAGAAACGAGGGTAAATGAAGAAACTACCACATCTTGACCCAGCTGCATGACATTTCAAAACTCAAAACATAAAGAG